AGTCCAGAGGAACAGATGTAAGTTGACACTATCATGTAAACATCACGCTTAATGATTGGGCCACTTAATGACAAAGATGCAGTTCCAATTGCAGTCTTTAAGTGAGGAGTACTTCAACTGGGATGTCAGCAGAGGGATTGTGGAAAGTAGTTTTTGCCCTTATTTGTAGCCGAGGACTCCCATGTGCAAATCTTGCAGAGGTTTTAGGTATCATTTCATCAGTTAAAGCCCCCACACCTGTAGAAACTAGCTCAGAAGATTTGACATTAATCTTTTTTTCTTTTTCAGGCTGAAAACATTCAGGCTGAAAACATTTTCTACATAGATATAGGTATGTGTATTTATATTACTATTTCCATGTATCTTCAATTGTATAATCTATACCTCAGACTTCCAGATATGTTTTATGATAACCCATAGCAGCACTTACAGTTTATGATTGTTGCAAGTCAAGGGAATGTCATGATTTAAGGGATATTTTAATCTCTGGAATGTCCGATAAATCATAATTAATGTAAGAAGTTAGTATTGTGGCATGTTTGCTTTTTAAATGTATATTTTTTTCCTTTTTTTCACATCTGCAAGCATTGTACAAACAATTAAAGTTACACTTTTCTTTGAATCTTACAGATAAAGAGGATGGCAATAAGAGCACTCTGGAGAAGTGAGAATAATTTTTGAAAAGGAAAGCAAATCAAGCCAGAAATCAAAATATTTTCCATTTCCTTCAGAAAATTACACAATTCTCCCATCCCAGCAGGCGAAAGGCAAGAGAAAATCAAGAAGAGATTTCAAGCTGGAAATAGTAGAGTATGCAGAAGAGAAGCATAGGTTACATGACAAGGTGAAGGGGATCATTTTTCTGTTCAGAAAAAGAGGGAAATATCTGGAAATCAGTGTGAAAGAAAAGGTCAATTGGACACTCAAATAGGGCAGGCAGTAATGCAGAACTCCCAATGGGATGAAAAAAACAGTAGGTGAAATCAAAGCCCCACTAAACAAGGGACCACACACATTTTTGACTTCTTCCAGCATATCAGTGGTGAAAAAGGTCCACAGATGTCAATATTGTGGTATAAAGCACAGTTTGCAAAAGCATAGGTGATTAAATACAAGAGGATCCAAACTGGAAAAAAGGCATACAAATGCTACTAATGTAACAAAATCTTTGGTTAGAATATCTCCCTTGTGGTTCATAAAAGGACCCACACAAGACAGATGCCCTATAAGTGCTCCCAATATAGTAAATGCTTTACCAAGCAAAGTAATTCACACAGGAGAGAAATCATAGGAGTGTCCAGTTTGTGAGAAAAGTTTCGCTGTAAATTACTACCTGTTGAAACACAAGATGTCTCACACCGGAGAGAAACCATTTGAATGTCCTGAATGTGGGAAAGGTTTTAGTTGCAGTTCCACCCTAGTGAGACACCAGAGGACTCACACAGGAGAGAAACCCTTTGAATGTCCTGAATGTGGGAAATCTTTCACTCAGAATTACAACCTGATGACACATCAGAGGTCTCACACAGGAGAGAAACCATTTGAATGTCACGAGTGTGGGAAAGGTTTCAGTTGCACTTCGAGCCTGGTGAGACATCAGAGGATTCACACAGGAGACAAACCCTTTGAATGTCATGATTGTGGGAAATCTTTCAGACACAATTCCAGCCTGGTGATACATCAGAGGACTCACACAGGAGAGAAACCCTTTGAATGTCCTGAATGTGGGAAATATTACAGCTGCAGTTCCAGCCTAGTGATACATCAGAGGACTCACACAGGAGAGAAACCCTTTGAATGTCCTGAATGTGGGAAATCTTTCACAAATAATTCCAGCCTGGTGATACATCAGAGGACTCACACAGGAGAGAAACCATATGAGTGTCCAGTATGTGGGAAACATTTCACTTGCAGTTTCAACCTGGTGATACATCAGAGGACTCACACAGGAGAGAAACCCTTTGAATGTCCGAATTGTGGGAAATCTTTCATAAAAAATTCCAGCCTGGTGATGCATCAGAGGACTCACACAGGAGAGAAACCATATGAGTGTCCAATTTGTGGGAAAAGTTTCAGTAAACATGTCAACATGGTGAACCACCAGAGGACTCACACAGGAGAGAAACCATATGAGTGTCCAGTTTGTGGGAAAATATTCAGTCAGAAATCCCACATGGTGATACACCACAGGAGTCACACAGGAGACAAACCATTTGAATGTGCTGAATGTGGGAAAGGTTTCAGTTGCCATTCTAGGCTTGTGATACACCAAAGGACTCACACTGGAGAAAAGCCCTTTGAATGTCCTGAATGTGGGAAATCTTTCACAAATAATTCCAGCCTGGTGATACATCAGAGGACTCACACAGGAGAGAAACCCTTTGAATGTCCTGAATGTGGGAAATCTTTCATACAAAATTCCAGCCTGGTGATACATCAGAGGACTCATACAGGAGAGAAACCATATGAGTGTCCAGTATGTGGGAAACATTTCACTTGCAGTTTCAACCTGGTGATACATCAGACGACTCACACAGGAGAGAAACCCTTTGAATGTCCTGAATGTGGGAAAGGTTTCAGTTCCAATTCTAAGCTTGTGATACACCAAAGGACTCACACTGGAGAAAAGCCCTTTGAATGTCCTGAATGTGGGAAATCTTTCACAAATAATTCCAGCCTGGTGATACATCAGAGGACTCACACAGGAGAGAAACCCTTTGAATGTCCTGATTGTGGGAAATCTTTCATACAAAATTCCAGTCTGGTGATGCATCAGAGGACTCACACAGGAGAGAAACCCTTTGAATGTCCTGATTGTGGGAAATCTTTCATAAAAAATTCCAGCCTGGTGATGCATCAGAGGACTCACACAGGAGAGAAACCATATGAGTGTCCAGTTTGTGGGAAAATATTCAGTCAGAAATCCCACATGGTGATACACCAGAGGACTCACACAGGAGAGAAACCCTTTGAATGTCCTGAATGTAGAAAAAGTTTCAAGACGAATTCCCAACTGGTGATACACCACAGGATTCACACAGGAGACAAACCATTTGAATGTGCTGAATGTGGGAAAGGTTTCAGTTGCCATTCTAGGCTTGTGATACACCAAAGGACTCACACTGGAGAAAAGCCCTTTGAATGTCCTGAATGTCGGAAATCTTTCACAAATAATTCCAGCCTGGTGATACATCAGAGGACTCACACAGGAGAGAAACCCTTTGAATGTCCTGATTGTGGGAAATCTTTCAAACACAATTCCAGCCTGGTGAGACATCAGAGGACGCATAAAGGAGAGAAACCATAAAAGTGTCCAGATTTTGGAAATATTTTCAGTATTAGGTCTAACCTTATACATCATATATCACACGGGAGAAACATTTGTAATGTCAATCTGTGAGCAATTCTTCAAGTCTAAATCATCTCTTATTGCAAACAAGGAAGTGCACATGAAGCAAACAATGATGAGTTTAGAGAAATCTTGAATTTCATTTCTTATTTTCTGTTGAGAGTATAGGTGAGAAATTGACTACTTCAATTCTGGCGTGATTCTTTTTAGTCAACAGATCTCAGGATTAGACCTGAAGGTGGAGTGAAAAAATATGAAAATTGTTAACTTGATAAAGGCTAATGACTTGTTTCTGATTATCAGCAGAGGTTTCTGGATGTTTCCTGCCTGGGAATAATCTAACTCAGAGGTTCTCAACCTGTGGGTCGCGACCCTTTTGGGGGTCGAACGACGCTTTCACAAGGGCCGCCTAAGATCATTGGAAAACACCTATTTCCGTTGGTCTTAGGAACTGAGACACCGCTGCTCTATCTGGCCGCCACCACCCTCCTCCACCACCACCGGCTCCTCCGCCTCCAGGGCGCCCTTATCTTCCAACAGCGCCCTTCTGCTCCTACCACCGCAGCTCCATTGTGCGCACCCCCGATGCTGCCCCGGGCCGGCTCAGCAGCATGGGTGGCTGGACTGAGCCGGGTCTGGGCCGCTGCTGGTGTTGCCACTGGGGTGCTCTGCCGCTACTGCCACCGCTGCTGGCTGAGCTGAGCTAAGCGCCGAGCCGGACCCCACACCTCCTGGTTGCCTAGCCACACTCCGCTCCCGGCCTCCCTCTGCGCCATGCCAGAGCCTCCCCCGCACCTCCCACTTCTCTCACCGTCGGAGGCTGCCTTGGCCCTCTGGCACCCGGCGCGGCCCTGGGGATGGCGGGCAGGAGTGGCTCACCGGGCTCTGGGCCTTGGAAGCAGCCAGGCGGTGGGCAAGAGGGCGAGGCAGTGGCGATGCCCGCATGTGCATTGGAGGGGAGAAGCGGCACCTTCTGAGCGGAAGCTGGTGCTCTGGCCACACCTCTCGCATGCGACGAGTCGGGTAAGGGGTGTGCCGGTGAAGGACTGCGCGGCATGTAAAGAGGCTCTTGCAACCCAGCCGCTACAATGGTGCTTAGGAGGTTGGAGGGGCGGGCAGGTCCCGGGGGGGTGGCTGGGAGCAAGGGGTGCCGGGATGAGGATGGGGGGGGTTCCAAGTTGGCAGGCGTTGAGGGCAGCCGGCGGCTCCACGACGCGCGGATCCACTTGCCTCTGTGCTGTGCCTGGAGTCATCACACTTTGCTTAACTACCCCTACTCCTGCTGTTCCTGATTCAGCTGTTAAATGAATGTGTAAGGCGTTAAACACTGGCTACCTCACTGTTGGGGAAAACTGGTGGTAGTCCTTGATTTACAAGTGTAATTTAACTTGAAATTACAGTCGTAAATCATGAGGGTCATGAATGGGTCATCACACAATGTGATCAATTTTATAACCTATTTTGTGGCACCACAGAAGGAAGTGCACATGAGGCAAACATTGATGAGTTTAGAGAAGGCTTGAATTTCATTTCTGATTCCCCATTGGGAGTGTAGGTGAGAAATTGGCTACTTGAATTCTGACCTGATTCTTTTTAGTCAACACATCTTAGGATTAGACCTGTAGGTGCAGAGAAAAAAAATGGAAATTGTTAGCTTAATAAAGGCTAATGACCTGTTTCTAATTATCAGCAGATGTTTCTGGATGTTTCCTTTTACAGAACTTGTGGAACTCCTCAAATAGCGTTTTGTGTGCTTTTTGTATATTGATTATGGAAATCCAACATATGGAGTTTCAGCCTTGCTTGTTGTGCTCCAGATTTTGATCCCCATATTTTCCCAGCCAGCACGCCAGTAGTCTTCAAGTTAAAACTATAATGGGGCCTGCCAGTTACAGTTGCACGTTGCAAAAGCCATGAAGTGAGAGTGGTTTAGTTAATTACCTCCACCGTCCGTGATGCAGCCATTAAACAGATGTGTAAGTCGCTACGTGGAATACTAGCACCCCAACTGTTGGGAGAAGGTCTTGAAGGCCTAATGCAGGCTCAGACCTGCCCCCACAGGTATCCCTAGGCCTCCCCCACCCCTGAGACACCCTGTGCTCTGCTTCCCAACCCTTGGTTCCCCTGGGGCTCTTCCTCCCTTATAGGGACCAACCAAACTTTTCTCCCATCCCATGGTCCCCACAGATTTTTCCCCCATGGTCCCCCTGACCTCTCCCCCACAGTATTTGGGGGGCTGCCACAAGGAAGGTGGGATAAAATTCTCCAAAGCATCAGAGGGCAGGATAAGAAACAACGGTTGGAAACTGATCAGAGAGAGAAGAACCTGGAATTAAGGAGAAACTTCCTAAAAATGCAGACAATTAACCAGAGTGTTATGTGCTCCTGCCTACTTTCCTTCATGACCAGAAGCAAACTCACCTGACCAATAACCAGCCAAGGCACAGTGAAGGCCTTTTATTTCATTTATTGCAATAAGCGAGGAGAGAAGCTATCAAAGCTTGGTTCTCTCCAAAGTTCCAACCAAAAATATTCCTTCTTTATACAACCCTGTCCTGGATGCCACATCCCTCCTCATTTCCCATTGTAGTTTCTTTGGTAGTCTTGTTTGTCTTCAGAAATCATGGGTGCTCCATCACTGGAGGTTTTTAAGAAGAGATTAGACCAGGGATCAGCAACTCGTGGTTCCTGAGCCGCATGCGGCTCTTTCATCCCTTCGCTGTGGCTCCCAGTCCTCCGCCACCTAAAAAAAAAAAAGTTCAATCAATCAGTTACAACCTCTCATAGAAAAAAAAAGATCTTGCATAATTGGAATTGATTGATTGGACCTTTTTTAAATCCCACAAATAAAGTTGATGGGCAGGTTAACAAGCTTCTTTTGTTTGTAAGACTGCCCACAACAGCAGAGGAAATGATGGAGGACCACGTTGGAGCTGGAAAAATGCTGGTAGGGCCCAGTCAGGGGCGCAAGGGGGTTTTCTGCCAAGCATCATGTACGGAGCTGGGGAAACGGGCCAAGGGGGAGCTGCCAATTCTGCTGCCATGAGGCTTGTCAGATTCCCCTGAGTGCACCCCCCCCCGCAGCCAGCCAACCACCATCACCTAACCTACCCCTCACCTGGCCAGCCAGCTGTCACAAAGCCTCACCGCTCTTTTCCTACTCGTTCTCCTCCCCATTCTGTTCCATCCGAGTTGAAGAAAGCGGAGGCGCAGCAGCAGGAGTCCTCTCAATAAGGCAGGCGCACACGAGCGAGCAGCACACCCAGTTCTTATTATTTGAAAGCAATCCCTCTGCTGTGCCTCCGCTTTCTTCAACTTGAATGGAGCCGAGGAGCCGCTGGGGGCCTCTTGAGTGGGAAAGACAAGCTGTGCTGCTGGGCAGTGCCTGGGCTATGCGCTGCCGCTGCCTCCCAAACGCCATCTTTGCTGCTGGGGAAAGCTGCAGTGGCAGAGCGCTTCGCACAGGGGAGGTAAGAAGAAAATGCAGTGGCAGCAGGGCGCTCTGCATGGGGGAGGTAGGAGAGAAAAGTAGCAGCAGGGCATGCTCCCCATGGGGGAGTTAGGGAAAAGCGGCAGCAGGACACTGCACAGGAGAGATAGGAAAGAAAAACAGCGGGACACGCTCCATGTGGACGAGGTAGGGAAAAGCGGTGGCAGCATGGCGCTCTGCGTGTGGGAGATAGAGCAAAGTGGCGGCAGCAGGGTGCTCTGCACAGGGAGATAGAGTAAAGTGGCAGCAGGGCACGCTCCACATGGGGGAGGTAGAGAAAAGCGACGGCAGTAGGGCACTCCGCATGGGGGAATAGGAGGGAAAAGCGACGGCAGGGCACGCTTCGTACGGGGAGGTAAGAGCTGTCCAGTCTCCTCTTAAAAACTTCCACCGATGGAGCGCTCACAACTTTTAGAACAGACATGTTAAACACAAAAGCCCAGGGGCTGGATGCGGCCCACAAAGTGATTTCATGTGGCCCGCGAAGCCATCCTGGAAACAGTGAAGGAACGGCCCCCTCTGCCTTGGCCCTGGCCGGCCGGGAAACAATGTACAATTTTGTGGTGGTCATCTATGCTGAAATGCATTCAGTCTTAGCTCCAGCTGAGCCCTGAAGAAGCACCAATCAGCTGGAAAGCAGCACTGATCCTGGCACTTCTGCTGAGCCCAGAAGCGCCGATCAGCTGGAATGTCGCAGTATCTCCAGGGTCTTGTGATTTACATTCAGATGCTTAGCAACTGATTCATATTTATGACGGTCACAGGGTCACAGTGTCCCAGATGACCAAAATCTGCTGCAACCACCCAGCAGACAAAGGGAATAAAAACCAAACACCCCCCACCCCACCCCTGCTGCCAATACTCAACAGAAATGCTCACAACCATGAAAACCCTGGACAGGAGGAAGAGCGCCATTGTAACTTTGAACAGTCACTAAGCGAACTGTTGTAAATCGAGGACTATCTGTACTTCATCACTTTTTCCCTTTTTTTTGGTCATCAAGTTTTTGACACCTTGCTAGGTGACTGGTGGTACTTGGATACTGCCATATCCTAAAAGTGGTACAATGGGTGAAAAGGTTGAAAAGCCCTGTTCTAGTCCAATCCCCTGCTCAAGCAATCAGAATATACCATTTTAGGCAGGTGGCTCTCTTCTTTTTTTAAAACCCTCCAGTGATGGAAGCATCTGCAATTTCTGAAGGGAAGCTGTTCCACTGGTTCATTGTCCTCACATTAGAAAGTTTCTCCTTAATTCCAAGTTCCTTCTCTTCTTGATTATTTTCCTTTCTGCCAATATAATTAGACGTTCCCCAAGGATAAAATGAAATTAATCACAGGAGACATCGGACGCCACAATGAAGCTCTACATCACAATGCCCGCCTTATTGAGGGAAATGCATGCAACCTCCTTTCCTAACTGCAATCAACAGTTGCAGTCATTTTCAGAGATTTCAAATGGAGAGGGATCCTGACAGTCAAGGGGAGAAGGCCCCAAGGGAGTTTCTCCTTCTTGTTTGATTGGCAGCAACACATTTAATTGTTTAGTGCTGAAGGAGATTTCAAGCAGCTGCTATGTATTTTCATCTCTGTACCTGTTGGCACCTCTATTTGATTACCAATTGACTCTGCAGTGAAACTCCCTACTGTGTGTAGCTTGTAGTGTCACAAAGACAAGCTTTGGGAGAAGCACCCGACCCTCAGGATTTCTGTTAGCAGTTTGCTCAGAAACTGTACTGTCCCTTTTGAGGGTAGCACTTCACAAAGAAATTAAAAAGACCCATTAAAGAAGCAATCTTGAATAGAATAGAGCTGGAAGGGACCTGGAAAGTTTTCTAGTCCAGCCCTCTGCTCAAGCAGGAGAACCTATACCATTTCAGATAAGTCACTTTCTAGTGTCTTCTTAAAGGCCTCCAGTGATGGAGCACCCATGATTTCTGAAGGTAAGCTGTTCCTCTTGATAGAAGTGAATGAAAGGTCTTCAAAATTTAATATTGAAAGAAAATTTTAAAATATAATCTGCTGTACAATGGAAACGTACTGAAATAGACAAACAAGCTTAGCAAAAAAACTACAAAGGGGAACGAGGAGAGATGTAGCGGCCAGGACAGGGTTGTATAAACAAGGAATATTTTGGGTTGGAAAATTGGAGAGAACCATAGCTAAGTCTTGCAGTATTTTGTTTGTATATAGTTGTTTACATTTCCCTTCTTTTATTTCTCCCATCTCTAAATCAGTTTCCTGTTTAGTCTTCTGATTTCTGGATTATGTCCATACTTTGTATTCGTTATCTGGGAATTTCTAGTTGTAGATTTAATTTGAGATTTGCTCATTTATATTGTCTAAATTGATTTTAGTCTCATCATTTCTTTTTATGTGCTCTTTGCATTCAACAATTGTTTGGTGAATTAGTTGTAGCATAGAATATATTTCTTTCTGAAAGCTGTTTATTTTTTCTCGAGGCATCATTCCTAGAGATCCTCTAGTATCACCAGTATCCGTAAGAGTAGATCAAAGTTTCCTCTACTTTTCTGGTCTTTATATGTACCCTTTATAATCCAATAAATTCCAAACTGTAGGTTCAATCCTGAAGGCAATATTTTATAGTAATCCTTTGTCTTAAGTATCCAAAAATTGTCAATCAGGCAAGGTCATAATCCACAACGTTTGAAGTATTCAAAATGTTCAACCTCTCTGAAATCAGCTCAAAAGTCTCTCCCAGACAGACATAGTCCAAGGTCAAATTTTTCTTTCTCTCCCACTAGCTCTTGAAGTTAAAAGTCCACGCTTAGTAGGCATTTATAATCCAAGAAGGTCAGTGTGATAAGTAGGCCAAAATATCTTCCTTTATTGTCAGCTGTTCTCCTGAACTAGGAATCAACAAGCAGCCAGGAAGCAAATTATACTGCTATAGACAAATCCACCACTAGATGTCATTCAGTCCACTTTCCATTCTTAAAACAAAGGATTCATTTTGTATATTTCACCTCAATGTTTTTTTTCCCAAAGAGAAAATCTTAACAGTTATCTCAGTTCTCAAATTTATCAAAAGTGTAGCTTTATCTTACTTCCACTTCACTATTTTATTTTTCTGTCCCCCGTAAGATTTAAACACTGCTTCCGTTTGCATTCAGAGGCTTTTAGCTTTTTGGGAGCCTTTCCCAGGAAATCCTATTGTAAAAGGTAAAGAAAGGATCAATATTCTCACCCAGTTCCAAACATGCTGTTTATGATACATTAATTATTGCCTTTTTCTTCTTCGGTTGTCAGCAGTTAATGGCTGGCCACAGGAACGTAGCCAGTCTTTCCCCTGCTGGTTTGGAGGGCTTTCCATGGATTGAACGGAAAGACCGCCATCTCGCCGTGATCAACAACCACCCCTCCTCTTCATCGCACCTTCGGGGCTATTTTAGGCCCTTTTTAGGGCCCCCAGAAGGGCGAACTCTGACTGAAATTTTTCCCACAATCAGGACATTCAAAGGGTTTCTCTTATGTGTGAGTCCTCTGGTACTTCACCAGGTGTGAATTTGTAATGAAACCTTTCTGTCAATCAGAATATTACTAATATTTCTCTCCTGTGTGAATCCTCCGATGTATCACCAAATGAGAATTTGCAATGAAACCTTCCTCATAAAGTGGACGCTCATATGGTTTCTCTCCTGTGTGAGTCCTCTGGTGGTTTACCAGGTCAGAGTTCTTCCTGAAAGTTTTCCCACATTCAGGACATTCAAAGGGTTTCTTGCCTGTGTGAGTTCTCTGGTGTTTCACCAGGTTGGAATTTGCAATGAAACTTTTCCCACAAAGTGGACACTTAAACGGTTTCTCTCCTGTGTGAGTCCTCTGGTGTATCACCCGTTGGGAATTCTGAGTGAACCTTTTCCCACATTCAGGACATTCAAAGGGTTTTTCTCCTGTGTGAGTCCTTTGGTGTATCACCAGGTTAGAATGGGAATTGAAACTTTTCCCACAAAGTGCACACTCATACGGTTTCTCTCCTGTGTGAGTCCTCTGGTGTATCACCAGACAGAAATTCTGAGTAAACCTTATCCCACATTCAGGACATTCATAGGGTTTCTTTCCTGTGTGAGTCCTCTGGTGCATCCCAAATATGAATTACGACTGAAACTTTTCCCACATTCAGGACATTCAAAGGGTTTCTCTCCTGTGTGACTCCTCTGGTGGATCACCAGATCGGAATTACGACTGAAACATTTCCCACATTCAGGACATTCAAAGGGTTTTTCTCCTGTGTGAGTCCTTTGGTGTATCACCAAGTTAGAATGGGAAGTAAAACTTTCCCCACAAACTGGACACTCATATAGTTTCTCTCCGGTGTGGGTTCTCTGGTGCTTTACTAGGTTGGAATTTGCAACAAAACCTTTCCCACAAAGTGGACACTCATACGGTTTCTCTCCTGTGTGAGTCCTCTGGTGTTTAATCAGGCTGGAATTGAGACTGAAATATTTCCCACATTCAGGACATTCAAAGGGTTTCTCTCCTGTGTGACTCCTCTGGTGGATCACCAAATCAGAATTATGACTGAAACTTTTCCCACATTCAGGACATTCAAAGGGTTTCTCTCCTGTGTGACTCCTCTGGTGGATCACCAGATCGGAATTACGACTGAAACTTTTCCCACATTCAGGACATTCAAAGGGTTTCTCTCCTGTGTGAGTCCTCTGGTGCATCACTAGAGAGGAATTACGACTGAAACTTTTCCCACAATCAGCACATTCAAAGGGTTTTTCTCCCATGTGAGTCCTCTGGTGGTTTACTAGGTCGTAATTTGCAAAGAAACGTTTCCCACAACCTGGACACTCATACGGTTTCTGTCCTGCATGAATCCTCTGGTGTCTCACCAGGTGGGAATTTACAATGAAACTTTTCCCACAAATTGGACACCCACACGGTTTTTCTCCTGTGTGATTCCTCTGGTGCATCACCAAATAGGAATTACGACTGAAACGTTTTCCACATTCAGAACATTCAAAGGGTTTCTCTCCTGTGTGTGTCCTCTCATGTCTCACCAGGAGGGTATTTGCAACAAAATCTTTCCCACAAAATGGACACTTAAACGGTTTCTCTCCTGTGTGAGTCCTCTGGTGTATCACCAGTTGGGAATTCTTAGTAAACCGTTTCCCACATTCAGGACATTCAAAGGGTTTCTCTCCTGTGTGAGTCCTCTGGTGCATCAACAGAGAAGAATTACGACTGTAAGATTTTCCACGATCTGAACATTCAAAGGGTTTATCTCCGGTGTGAGTCATCTGGTGTTTCACCAGGTAGTAATTTACAGTGAAAATTTCTCACAAACTGGAGACTCCCATGGTTTCTCTCCTGTATGAATTACTTTGCTTGGTAAAGCATTTACCACATTGGGAGCACTTATAGGGCATCTGTCCTCTGTGGGTCCTTTTATGAACCACAAGGGAGATATTCTGAACAAAGATTCTGTTACATTAGTAGCATTTTTATGCCTTTTTTCCAGTTTGGATCCTCTTGTATTTAATCACCTATGCTTTTGCAATCTGTGCTTTAAACCACAATAGTGACATCTGTGGACGTTTTCCACCACTGATATGCTGGAAGAAGTCAAAAATGTGTGTGGTCCCTTATTTGATTTCACCTACTATTTTCTTCCTCCCATTGGGAGTTCTGCATTACTCTCTGCCCTATTTCAGTATCCAATTGACCTTTTCTTCCCCACTGACTTCCAGATATTTTCCTCTTTTTCTGAATGGAAAAATGATCCCCTCCACCTTGTCATGTAACCTATCCTTCTGTTCTGCATACTCTACTATTTCCAGCTTGAATTCTCTTCTTGATTTTCTCTTGCCTTTCGCCTGCTGGGATGGGACAACTGTGTAATTTTTTGAAGGAAATGGAAAATATTTTGATTCTGGCTGGATTTGGTTTCCTTTTCAAAAATTATTCTTACTTCTCCAGAGTGCTCTTATTGCCATCTTCTTTGTCTACAAGAGTCAAAGAAAAGTGTAAGTTTAATTGTTTATACAATGATTGTAGATGTGAAAAAAAGAAAAAAAATATACATTACATTTAAAAAGCAAACATAACACAAGGCTAACCTATTACTTTAATTATGATTCATTGGACATTCCAGAGATCCCAGTTCAAATATCTGTTCAATCATGAAATTCCCTTGACTTGCATCAACCATAAACTGTAAGCGCTGTTATGGGTTATCATAAAATATATCTGGAAGTCTGGGGTATAGATTGTACAATTACAAATACATGGAAAGAGTAATATAAATACACATACCAATAATTGTATCTATGTGGAAAATTCTGCAAAATTCATGAAAAAAACTAAAATTAATATTGAAAGACTCCACAGACAGGGCTGTTCACTTACATGGGCAGAGAGAAACAGGGACTCAGCAGTCACCAGAGAGGGAATCTGGGCACGTAAGAGAGGCAGATTGAGGAGCTGCATCCCAAAGGAAACCCACCTGGACGCCTCTCTGGTCTCCGTCCTCCTCGCCTCCAGCCACGCTCCCTCTGAGCCCAGAGCTCCCCCGTCCTCTTCCCCTTCCTCTGAGGGATTTTGCTTAGGAGAAGCTGGCTGGGAAAGTCACAAACGGGGATCGCGAGGGTGGGATGCTGCGACCGTCACGGATGTACAGCGCTGGGCAGCGTCCGAACCGATCAGCTCGACCTGCTCCAGGCTTCTCCTCCGACCCGCCCTCGACTCACCTTCCAGCTGCTGCTTCGACCCTGGGAAGAGCACAAAAGCCTCCCCCCCCACGCCTCCTTCTTCCCCTGAGCGATCCGGAAAAGGAAGTTACTCTGATCTTCTCCTCGCCTCCCATCCTTTCTAGCAATGCAGTACTTGATGGTTGCAGCTCCTCTTCCCTCCACCACAGATGCCGCTTTCTAGTCGCAGACGCTGCCTATCTGACCGTCATCTCGCGATAGGAGGCAGGAAGTCACGCTTGTCCCATCTCGGCCTTTGGCGTCTAGAGAGGTTTTCGCTGATTTATCTGCTCTCCGGTCGTTTCCGCCTCCCAGCGACCGTCCTTTGCAACTGAGCCAAGTGAGATGACGGTCAGATAGGCAGCATCTGCGACTAGAAAGCGGCATCTGTGTTGGAGGTAACAGGAGTTGCAACCATCGAGTACTGTATTGCTAGAAAGGATGGGAGCAGCATCCCACCCGCTTGTGCCTTTCTCAACCAGCTTCTCCTAAGCAAAATCCCTGGAGAGGCTGGCAAGAAGGCTGCTAGGAGGAGGCCAGGGGCGTCTGGAAGGCGGGCGAGGGAGACCCAAGAGGCGTCCAGGTGGGCTTGGCTGATGGGCAGCCCTGCCAGGTGGGCTTCCTTTGGGATGGAGTTCCTGAATCTGCCTCTCTTACGTGCCCAGATTCCCTCTTTGGTGACTGCTGCATCCCTGTTTCTCTTTGCCCGTGTCAGTGAACAGCCCTGTCTGTGGAGGTTTTCAGTTTAAATATTTAGTTCTTTTAAGGTCTGAATAATCTACCCTGAAAAAGAAGCTTTCAAGGGACAGTCCCGGGAGCTATATTAACTGCCTGCAGGGCATTTTGGGGAACAGAGACTGGTCTGCAGAAGAGCCAGAGAGGCTTCAGTTGTTGGACTAAAATGCCGCATGGAGAGCTTATGTTTAGATCAGACATGTCAAACACAAGGCCCGCAGTGCCTTGGAGCATGAGAGCGTTCAGGGGCTGCAGAAGCAGCTCATTTGCTTTAACCCGCCCCTCCCCTCCCAGCTTAACCCTGTCAGGCCTGGTCAGGAGAGGAAGAGGAGGAGGAAGCCAAGGTGTTACAAAAAAGACCTTCTCCCATTCTTCCACCCCTTCTCTTTTTTTTTAACATCCTCCCACTCCATTCAGGTGCAGCTGAGGAAAAGGACGAGGAGAAAACAGGAAGAGAGAGAGTGTGTAAGAGAGACAGAGACAGAGAGAGAGCCAGAAGGGGAAGAGGAAGCTGAAGTTTTACAAAAAAGGAGAGCTTCCACCTTTCTCCTCCCTCCTCTTTTTTATTAACCTGTCTGTGTGTCTGTGGTGTGTGTGTGTGTGTGTGTGTGTGAGAGAGAGAGAGAGAGAGAGAGAGAGAGAGAGAGAGAGAGCCAGCAGGGAGTTGCAGAGTAAGCAAACTTACAAAAAGAGGATCTCTCTCTCTCTCTCTGACTCTCATACACATACATTTGTTTCTTCTGCCCAATTTATTAAATCAACATCTAATTTGAAATTAAAAGTTTCTGAGGAATCCATGAAAACTCTCAAAGACAGCTATTGTAAAGCGTCACTAGCACTGCTTAAAACAATATTAAAAGTATGTATTTTAAGAAAGAAAGAAAAATAGTAGTAGTACTTTACTTAGTGCTGTTTGACCATAAAATGTGTTGTTGTTTTACATATGCCTGGCTGAACAGTGTGTTTGGAGTTGGGTGAGGGTTGCACTATTTATATAAACCAAACCAGGGGGACCATCTGGTCTAAATGGATGGTAAACATAGATGATTAGGGGGCTGGAGGCTAAAACATATGACAAATGTTTGTGGGAATTGGGCATGTCTAGCTTAGTGAAAAGGACTAGGGGTGGTGACATGATAGCAGTGTTCCAATATTTGATGGGCTGCCACAGAGAAGGTCAACCTATTTTCCAAAGTATCAGAAGGCAAATAATAGATCAAAACTAATCAAGAAGAAAACCAGCCTAGAACTAAGGACTTGTGAAAGCAACTAACCAGTGAAAAGGCTTGCCTTCAGAAGTTGTGGATGCTCCATCATTGGAGGCTTTTAGTAGAGATTGGATATTCCATTGTCTGGAATGGTATTACGAAGAGAAGGATGAGGGGGGACATGATAGCAATGTTCCAATATCTCAGGGGATGCCACAAAGAAGATGGAGTCAAGCTATTCTCCAAGGCACCTGAAGGCAGGACAAGAAGCAGAGAATGGAAACTAGTCAAGGAGAGAAGCAACCTAGAACTAAGGAGAAACTTCCTGACAGTTAGAACAACTAACCAATGGAACAACCTGCCTCCAGAAGTGGTGAATGCTCCAACACTGGAAGTTTTTAAGAAGAGACTGGACAGCCATTTTTCAGAAATGGTGTAGGGTTCCTGCCTGAGCAGGGGGTTGGACTCGATGACCTCCAAGGTCCCTTCCAACATTATTATTATTATTATTATTATTATTATTATTATTATATTATTATTATTATTATTATTATTATATTATATTATAATATTATTATTATATTTGACCTGTGTGCCAAAGTGTCGTAGAGCAGAACAAGAAGTAACAGATCGAGACTAGAATTAGGAGAAAGTTCCTGTCAGTGAGAACAATTAATGAAACAGCTTCCCCCCAGATGTTGTGGGTGTTTCATCACTGGAGGTTTTTAAGAAGAGATTGGACAGCCATTTGTCCAGAATGATATAGGTTTCCTACCTAAGCAGGGGATTGGACTAGAAGTCCTCCAAGGTCCCTTTCAACTCTCATTATTCTTTTATGGACCTGCTGTTTTCTTGGCACCAATATCAGACTGAAACTGCCACTATTTTTTCGTGGATTTTTATTTTTTTACTTCTATTTATAGCTAACAAGCACGGTATTTCCTATTGGTTCCCCATACTTGTATTAATGAGGTTCAACTGTGCTTAAGCCAGCACTTCTGAAAGAATAGCTATGGAAGACCTTTCAGGATGTTCAGTTGTATAAGTTGTCCTCATTTACCACTTCTTCTCTGGGCCTATGATTATGAAAATGCAGGAAAAGGGAATTGCACCAATTTGGATGTTGCAAATTGTTGCATGTTTATGGTGGCTGCAGTATCCCACATTCATGATCCCCATCTGTGACCTTCCCAGCTAACTTCTTATAAGCAAAATCCATGGGTATACCGGCAGGAAATTGCAAGCCACAGTCATGTGAAATTGCCTTTAACAATCCATGGTGATTTTCTTAACAAGTCCAGAGGAACAGATGTAAGTTGACACTATCATGTTAACATCACGCTTAATGATTGGGCCACTTAATGACAAAGATGCCAGTTCCAATTGCCGTCTTTAAGTGAGGAGTACTTCAACTGGGATGTCAGCAGAGGGACTGTGGAGAGTAATTTTTGCCCTTATTTGTAGCCGAGGACTCCCATGTGCAAATCTTGCAGAGGCTTTAGGTATCATTTCATCAATTAAAGCCCCCACACCTCTAAAAATTAGCTCAGAAGATTTGACAGTAATCTTTTTTTCTCTTTCAGGATGAAAACATTTAGGCTGAAAACATTTTCTACATAGATATAGGTATGTGTATTTATATTACTATTTCCATATATCTTCAATTGTATAATCTATACCCCAGACTTCCAGATATGTTTTATGATAACCCATAGCAGCACTTACAGTTTATGGTTGTTGCAAGTCAAGGGAATGTCATGATTTAAGGGATATTTTAATCTCTGGAATGTCCGATAAATCATAATTAATGTAAGAAGTTAGTATTGTGGCATGTTTGCTTTTTAAATGTATATTTTTTTCCTTTTTTTCACATCTGCAAGCATTGTACAAACAATTAAAGTTACACTTTTCTTTGAATCTTACAGACAAAGAGGATGGCAATAAGAGCACTCTGGAGAAGTGAGAATAATTTTTGAAAAGGAAAGCAAATCAAGCCAGAAATCAAAATACTTTCCATTTCCTTCAGAAAATTACACAATTCTCCCATCCCAGCAGACGAAAGGCAAGAGAAAATCAAGAAGAGATTTCAAGCTGGAAAAATTAGAGTATGCGGAACAGAAGAACACGGTACATGACAAGATGAAGGGGATCATTTTTCTGTTCAGAAAAAGAGGGAAATATCTGAAAGTCAGTGGGGAAGAAAAGGTCAATTGGATACTCAAATAGGGCAGACAATAATGCAGAACGCCCAATGGGATGAAAAAAACAGTAGGTGAAATGAAAGCCCCACTAAACAAGGGATCACACACATTTTTGACTTCTTCCAGCATATCAGTGGTGAAAAGGGTCCACAGATGTCAATATTGTGGTATAAAGCACAGTTTGCAAAAGCATATGTGATTACGTACAAGAGGACCCAAACTGGAAAAAAGGCATACAAATGCTACTAATGTAACAAAATCTTTGGTTAGAATATCTCCCTTGTGGTTCATAAAAGGACCCACACAGGACAGATGCCCTATAAGTGCTCCCAATGTAGTAAATGCTTTACCAAGCAAAGTAATTCACACAGGAGAGAAACCATAGGAGTGTCCAGTTTGTGAGAAAAGTTTCACTGTAAATTACTACCTGGTGAAACACCAGATGACTCACACCGGAGATAAACCCTTTGAATGTTCAGATTGTGGAAAATCTTTCAGTCGTAATTCCTCTGTGTTGATGCACCAGAGGACTCACACAGGAGAGAAACCCTTTGAATGTCCTGAATGTGGGAAACGGTTCACTAAGAATTCCCAACTGGTGATACACCAGAGGACTCACACAGGAGAGAAACCGTTTAAGTGTCCATTTTGTGGGAAAGGTTTTGTTGCAAATGCCCTCCTGGTGAGACATCAGAGGACTCACACAGGAGAGAAACCCTTTGAATGTCCTGAATGTGGGAAAAAATTCAGTTGTAATTCCTATTTGGTGATGCACCAGAGGACTCATACAGGAGAAAAACCGTATGAGTGTCCAATTTGTGGGAAAGGTTTCATTGTAAATTCCCACCTGGTGAGACACCAGAGGACTCATACAGGAGAGAAACCGTATGAGTGTCCGCAGTGTGGGAAAAGTTTCATTGCAAATTCTGACCTGGTGAGACACCAGAGGATTCACGCAGGAGAGAAACTATATGAGTGTCCAGGTTGTGGGAAACGTTTCTTTGCAAATTA